TCGTGGTTTTGAGTGCATAGAAGGATAACACAAGCTACATTTTGTCTGGTTTTTGTTCATTCTCTTTATGATTCTCTCTCTGTCTTTCATCTCTGTCTTTCATTGTGATGGTATTAGAGCTAGACATCGGGTGATGTGCCAGCAAGGAGGCTGAGCCCCCAAGGGGGTGGACACGAGGCGGTATGCCAGCAAGGACACTGGGCACCGAAGGGTGGTGGATTGGAGGGTCCCACATCGGTTGGAGACGGGAACAAGTGCCTACAAGGACGTTGGGACCCGAAGGGGGTGGATTGTGAGATCCCACATCGGTTGGGGAGGAGAAGGAAACATTCTTTATAAGAGCGTGGAAACCTCTCTCTAGCAAACGCGTTTTAAAAACCTTGAGGGGAAGCCTGAAAGGGAAAGCCCAAAGAGGAAAATATCTACTAGCGGTTGACTTGGGCTGTTACAAATAGGATCGTATAATAACTCGCTGAGGTCATTTTTAGTTACCTTTTATTGTCCATAATTCTTTTCTCAATCACGGGATAGTGGTCTGATCTTTTTTATTCTGCATTAATTTTGTTATAAAGATTGGGCATCAAAGGAAGGCGCCATTGTTGGAAGGACCCACGGTTCTCTCTCTCCCAGCCCACCACCTTGACCCATCCTCGTCGGAAACCATGACCAACCCCTCAACACCCCGTTCCCCACTGACTATATGCCTTCCCCAGCCCCACTACCACCCACCCACACTCTCAAAAACCAAAATGGCCACCCACCCACCCTTAAAGAAGCGATCGGCCACCATTGAAAGGAAGAGAGGCTTGTTGAACCTACCATTTGGGTTGAAAAAGTTATCGAAAGGAGAGGTACTTTAACAGAGGTGGCCATTCTTCATAGCAATGTTGGTCTTAACAAAATTTTCATTCCTGTGCGTGAAGAAAGAAAAGGATGGTATGCTTTTTATAAACCCATTAGCCATTACCCTCCTGCTCCCATGAAAGGTAGTTTACCGACCTAAACCCCCACCAACCATTAAGAGCTGAACCAACTCTACTCCTAATGTAGCCATACTGACCTTAAATGCCTATGAATGTGTCAAAAATAGCTTTGAAAGGGTCAATGGTAGGAAAGGGTCTGAATATGTCAAACCTGAGCCAGATCAGTTGAGAAGCTGAGCTAGAGCCCATGGATTCTTTGACTGGCTCCAAATCTCGAAAGTGGGATGAGATAGAGCAGTTGTTGTGACTCAGTAAACAAAGAGACCTCTTTTATATTAGCATCCAACTCCCACTTTCTTAATCTGGTCGATGTGAGATAACTTTTTTTAAAAAATTTTTCGATTGCTACATCATACACATCTAAATAAAATTTTTCCGATTGCTACATCATACACATCTAAAAAAAAAACACTTTCATCCCTGCAAGTACCTTAAGCTTGCCAAAATTCAAGATACTTCTTTGAGGTTCAAATGAAAAGATAAGTTGAACCCATGCTTCATCGGACCCTTTTACATTCTTGATCAAATTGAACCACTGGCATACGGGTTAGCCCTACCACCATCGTTGTCCGCGGTGCATAGCATATTCCAAGTGTCCATGCTTCACAAGTACATCACCGGCTAAACATACGTGATAGACAAGGACCTAAGTTACAAAAAAGGAAAAAAAAAAAAAAAAAAAAAAACAAATTGGTAAACTAAAGTTAAATTATAACTTTGATTCAATTGTCCATAGAAATCTGTTTGATGTAAAGAATTATAATTTTATAGTCGACTTTGTTATTGTAAAGAATTACAATAAAAATATTTTTGGGGCTTTGAGGCCTTTGAGGCTTTTTGAGGCTGTAGTTGTAGCCCAACAATGTTGAACTAGGTGCGGTACTGACCCAATGGCTACATTGAAGGTAGCTTCTTCAAAATAGCCTGCAAACATCACGGCATCGGATCTGGTTGTTTGGTTGGACTTGGACAATTAAAAAAAAAGATTCACAAAAATAAAAAAAATAAAAAAAATCTTTTTGGTCTCTGACTCTGAATTTCACCCTTTTAATTAAGCTCAACCACCGAATCGGTTGGAATTATAATTTTTGGTCATTCAAATTTTTAAATACGAAAAAAATTCCCGCGTCCCCTCCGTGTTAGGCTGGATTTAAGCTGGAAAATTATTCCTTAATCAGATATTAAAATATGGATCACAAAATAATATAAAACATTTATTAAATTCCTTATTCATATTTACTTTTTGCTTCAACTCGATGGTACATAAATAAGCTCTTTCGGTATTCATAAAAATATATAAAATAATAAACTTCTTGACCATATAATTCAAAGGGTAGTAAAATTAAATTATAGTTACATATTTAAAGTGTGTATGATACTTATATTTATATTTATAGCTGTGAAATTTTATGAAAAATGCCTAAAATTAATGGTTTATGAAANGTTACAAAAAAAAAAAAAAAAAAAAAAAAAAGCCAGTGAAGATCCTAGCCCCCGAAATAAAAGTCCTATGTAGTAAAGAAATAGCCTTTGTTACGATATTGTGGCAAAACCACCAAGTGGAAAAAGCCACGTGGGTACAAGAGATTCTCTTATGGCCAACGAACCATTTGATAAATGGAAGAGGAAAACTGAAAATGTGTAGTTATTGTACTCAACATCGAAAAGGCTCTTCACAAGGTGGATTGTGATGTTCTTGACAATATCCTCCTTCATAAAGTATTGAAACATAACTTGCGATCTTGGTTTGGGAATGTATCTCCTCAACAATTTTTTCTATTATTAATCAATGGTTGTCCTCGAGGGGAAATATTACCCACAGGGGCTTTGCCAAGGGAACTCCCTATCTCCTTTACTCTTCGTTATGATCATGGATTTTATGCTTGTACCACATTAAAGGTTTCAATGTTGGCAAAGGTAATTTCAAGATTAAAATTTTCCTCTGGGAAAATATCTCATCAGGCCACTAACACTAGTGATATCCTCCAAAGGTCCATGCCTTACGTGGCCATCTCTTCAAGATGGTTCTCTATTTGCAAAACAGAGTGACGAATCTCAAAACCATATTTTCATCCATCACTCCTCTGCTCGTAAATACCGGGACAGAAATCTCATCACTTTTAGCTGGCTTTTGAGTCTCCCTAGAGATGGGAAGGACATCCTCACTTTTGTCTTACCGAGCCACCCCTTCAAAGATGTCAAACCGTTGCTATGCGTCCACATTAACAGGACCTTCGTTTGGGTCAAAAGGGTTTTGTTTTGGACAAAGAGCACAATTTTGAAGTGTTCTTTGATCTTGTTATCTACTATGCTATCTCTTGGTGTAAATTGTATAGCACCTTTGCTTCATATAGTTATGCTTCTATTTGATCCCGTTAGGAAAACGTTTTATAAACATCATGGATTATCCATCCTTTTCGTAAATTTCATACATCAATTAGTTTAGATTGATTGAATTTATTTAATTTCTCTCCGTTTCTGTTTCAATTTGCAGGCTATCCAGGTCGGCAAAGGGTCAAAGATTCGGAACTACCCAAATTCGGACGTCCAGTAAGTACCTTTTTATGCAAAAAGAGTATAGCTAGCATTAATTGAATTAAAAGGGACTGGATGAATAAATAGTTTTCTAGTTTAGTTATTGGTTGGAAACCATCTTTGAGTAGTTTTTGATGACTGGAACTTCAGACTGACCTCAGATTGTGATATTAGAGCTGCATGTCAGTCCTGTAATTATCATTAATAACCTGATTATTTTGAGATAATAGTAGATAGAAACAACGCTCGTAAAGAGTCCTATTGAAAATAAGAAATATAGGCCTGCCCGCCATCCACACTAGAATAAATGAAGTTTTTCGGAAAAACCTGCCTGCTGAGGAAGACCTCCTAAAGATAAGAGACATAGGGCTAAAGAGAGCCAGAAGAGGATAGTTTGTGTATAATCTTGCATAATCTCGAATGTTATCAGTTTCGTAGACCAAATGATAAAATAGGAGCAGCGACCAAATGATAAAATAGGAGCTTTTGCTCCTAGAAATAGCGGAGCACTCCCAATATTACTATCTAGCCTTCTAAATTAGTGTGTCAAATTCAAATCTGATCTTTGTTGGAACGGCCAATAATTATGAACTTGCAATATTGGTTCATTCCTTCCTTATTGTTTGCTGAGCTTATTTTCGAATTAGTAAAACAGTCGAGTTTAGATGCATAACACTGAAACACGTGCTTGTTGTGAAGGCGAAATTACGAAGCTCGTCTTGGTGGATAAGGTATTTTGTACAGACAAGTTTAGAAGAGAATGAAGCAGTGGTAAAGAAGTTTGATCAGGCTGCAGCTAAGAGGTCCTACAGGCCAGATTGCCAAGTCTTCCACCTCAAATCCTACTCTTGAGCATCTCAAAACTGTACTTTCTGTAAACTTATTCCCCCCATGCCTGTTTTGTTTTGCACAAAGTGCTTAGTTTATTCTCTAAATTAGCTACCTAATTTATATGCCTTTTCAGTAAATTGGTATAGGTTTTAGAATAGGCATTGCACTTGTTTGTATCTGGGCAAGTTATGATCATGACATATTGTGATTCTTTCGGTGGTTAGCTTTTATGGCAAATATGATTAATATGTATGGCCTCTTTGTATTATATTCAAGATTCATCATGGTTCTTAAGTTATTTTTTTCATTAGTTTTTGTTTCTTCAAAGATTATTTTGATCCTTGAAGCTTTAACCTTCTCTCTATTTAGTTTTTGGGTGTTTCTTGATTTTAGTTTAGGAAGTAAAGTACCGTTTTAGTTTTGAGGTTTGAGGTCAATATACATTTGGTGTCTAAGGCCATTTTGTTGATTGGGGGACGAGTTGTCGTCTGTTGTCTTCTCCATTGCTGATTATATCTTTGCGATCAGTTGAATAGGGGAACAAAGCATTCCTTATAAGGGTGCGAAAATTTGTCTCTGGCAGATGTGTTTTAAAACCGTGAGGCTAGCGGCAACACGTAATGGGCAAAAGTGGATAATATCTACTTGTAGCGGGCTTGGACTGTTACAAATGGTATCGAGTCAAGCATTGGGTGTGTCAGTGACGGTGGATTGTGAGATTCCATGTTGGTTGGAGAGGGGAACAAAGCATTCCTTATAAGGGTGCAGAAATTTGTCTCTGGCAGATGCGTTTTAAAACTGTGCAATATGTAATGGGTCAAAGTGGATAATATCTACTAGTAGTGGGCTTGGGCTTGGGCTGTTACAAGTAGTATCGGAGTCAAGCACTGAGTGTGTCAGTGAGGACGCTGGCACTGGCCCCCTAGAGTCAAGCACTGGGTGTGTCAGTGAGGACGCTGGCACTGGCCCCCTAGAGTCAAGCACTGGGTGTGTCAGTGAGGACGCTTGCACTGGCCCCCTAAAGAGGGGGATTGTGAGATCTCACGTTGGTTGAAGAGGGGAACAAAACATTTCTTATAAACCTCTCTAATAAATGCGTTTTAAAACCTCGAGGGGAAGCCCAGGAAACTCTCCACCAAAATAATAATCTGAATGGATAGAAATAATCACAAATTTTGAAAATATGATTTCCAAGAACAAACAAGCAAACTTGCAATGAGAAACTTATTTTTTGACAATTGATGGTGAGTGTGAACATGTCTCGTGGTCGATGAAGTTAAGTCTTTCACAATACCCCAAATGCACAACTAAAATGCGCTGATACGCCACAATCCCTCAAATGCCACAACTAAAATGCTCTGATACCAATTGTTGCAGCCGAAGTTGAAGAAAGATCCATGACACTCACACTCCCAGAACATAAATGGATAAAAAGACAATGAACACTCACACTCCCAGAACATAAATGGATAAAAAGACAATGAACGTGGATGTAGGATAATTTTTAATTGGCTCGAAGATAAGAAATTGTCCTACATTCATGGGTGGTAACCAATCACTATAGCCAAAGTGTTTACAAGTATCTCTTACCCTCTCGCACTACAAAATCTCACCTACAAAATTTCTCTCAATTGCCGCAAATACAAAATGACACTCATTCCACGTCTCATAATATTACTAGACAAACCTTTATATAAACATAATAATACTAATGCTTATACATGAATCAAGATAATTCATGTACTGATATGGAAAATGAATCAAATGAATCCAATACCCAATACGTACATGAATCAAAGTCAGAAATGTAATAAAAAATATTCATGAACCAACTCTTCATGACAATTCTCAACCAGAACAAATTAAACTAATATTGAACCATTAATTGGAACGATAAGAATAAAGCAAAAACAACAATCGGGCGACAAAATTAGTTTATAGAGTTCAATATTTTGGTTTATGTTCACATGGTTTATTAACATTTTAAAAATAATTATTGAAATGTAAAGAAATATTGGTAAATTCTTATATCTATAAGAATAATTTAATTTTGAGGAATTTAAGGTAAATTTTTATATTTGGTAAATTCTTTAAGGTAATTTAATTTTGAGAACTATTGGTAAATTCTTATATTGGCAAAAGAATAATATAATTTAGTCATCAACCAACCTTTTAAAAACAATTTAATAATACGAATTACACGTCTGTAAAATTGGCAACCAAGTTAATTTGCATTTATTTATTTACTTCTTATTTTGAGGAATTGAAGGAAACTTTTATCTGTCAATGTATTTCAAAATCCAACACCAGGTGATCTTCTTTAGATAAATACCCTAAACCAAACACAAATATCCCAAACCAACGCAATCCTACCGATCCTTCATCTAAAACTCGTTACAATGACATCTCCCAACTATCTCACTACATTTTGGATCGTTGGAATTGTCCTAATTCTAGCTCCAATCTCTCCAACGATCGCTGAAAGCAGCCCCAAAGACTTCGTCGATGCCCACAATGCCATCCGAGCCGAGAATGGCGTCGGCCCGGTGTCTTGGAACACCACTTTGGCTACGTTCGCGCTAGATTATGCCAAAACAAGGATTGCTACATGCGAGTTGGAGCACTCCAGTGGACCTTATGCCGAAAACATAGCAGAAGCATATGAGAAGTCAACAGCAGAATTGATAGTGAAGCTTTGGGCTAGCGAGAAGGAGTTTTATGACCCCATAACAAAAAAGTGCGTGAAGGAAGAGTGCGGGCATTTCCTGAATATTGTGGCGAAGGACACAACATCCATTGGCTGCGCTGAAGTCAAGTGCGACAACAACTTTATTTTCACCATCTGTGACTATTATTAAGCTCGATGTGAAAATAATAGGTTGAAACCTCGACCTTTCACGTTTAGTTATTGTTCTTATCAATAATTTGATCCAAGTTGTGATTTCTTATAATCTAAGCGGGTTGTATTGCCTTTATTGAACTTCTATTTGGGTTGATCTTTCTATATCGAAGAGGGATAAATCGTAAAATTATTTATTTACTTAAATTTGTGTGCAAAATAGATATTTCTTCAATCACGAGTGCATAATAGCTCACTGATCGAGCGTTCTTGCGCCGAAGATGAACGGGGCTATCCGATCTACCGAAGCTATGAGATGCAAAAATGTATAAGTTTTGATTTTTTTTCTTCAGTTCGATAAAATGTGGAAGATGAAAATTCTTAAGATGATCTCTTATATAGCTGTGATCTCTTGATCAAAGATATAATATTTTAATTAGTTGACCAAATCAATTTTCTTACAAAAAAAATTCGACAAGACCAGTCATTTAGGTTTGGACGTATCCGATTCGACCGATTCTGATTGGTTTTTGAACACCTTGACTCTCGAATATAAGGAATAAAGGTTTTGAAGATAGACAAGGATGACATGAAGAGCTTTCGTCCATACCGCCTCCCTAAAGCTTCTCTTCCTCTCGACTCGACTTGATTCTCTTTTCTCACTTGAAGCTCTGGTAGATTCCCTCTCATTTGTCTTGTGCACTTTGTGATCATAACATGCTCAAGACAGGGCGTCGTTTTTCAAAGTCTCGAGATAATCTAGCTAGTTCCTTATATTTAGCTCTTATCAATCATCCAAGGTTAGTCCCTTAGGACTCATCGTTTCTTGGAGTTTGTCATTTCTTGGTCTTTTTGGAGCTCATCATTTATCATAATCTAGCCCCTTGGAGATCATCTATCAACTCATCATTTGAAACCACGGTTGACCTTGCCTTGAGGATTCACGATTAAGGATAAGCTAGCAAACCTCTAATCGTTCCTATCCTATATCACTCATTTCATATATCAATAGAATACTGTGAGGGTTCATCTTAACGATCCATGATTAAGGTGTGAGAAATTGACATTTCATTTGCGCAGAAGAAGCATTTGAGTCAATTTTGATTTTATTTAGAATTAAACATAACTAAAGTTTAAATAAACTTATATTAAAAAAATATGGAGAAATTTGTGACCGTTTTTTAATCTTACATGTTCAACTTGCATTGAAAAAACATATAAAGAAAGTTTTGACATGTCTCTAATCTACTTGTTCAGGTACTCTATAAAGCTGAAGAAGGCTCGTGGGATACACTTAAAAGAAGAGCTATAAGAGTCTTATTTATCGGGACTTGGAGAATATTTTCATATTTAATATACAAAAATATATTAAATTAATTTGAACATTTAACATTACATATACTTTCTCGTTTATATTTCATGTATCTAATATATTAAATATTAATTTAGACATTTCAAATTTTTATTTCAACTAAATTGATTATTTTAGTATTAGTGTGAGCGAGGAATGAGACCTTATGCATCTATAGATTATATACTTTTCGAACACAAAATAATTAATTAAACTCTTTATCTAATCAATTTTTATTACTTAACTATATAAGTTACTCTATTATAAACTTAGAGTTATTCTCTTTGTAGGACAAGGTATATCTACAAGTCATTTGTAAATTTTTAGTAGACAAAAATCATCCATCTTTCTATTCGATAAAAATCTCAATCAATCAAAGTATTCCAATCTGTTAGGTATTGCACCGTCCCAATCTTGAAATGGTTAAGGTGGAATGGCGGTTGAAATCCATTTCAGTTGCTCAATTTCTAAATTCTCGTCAAAATTACATCAAGCATGTTACAATTAAGTTGAATTAAGTTTGAAAATTAAATATTGAAAACAATTTACGTGTTCTAGAAAATAATGTCACAAGCCATTACGACAAAAAAGATTAAGAATCGATTAAGATTGACCAGAAGTCGACTGTGAACCAAAGAGAACCAAGCAATGCTAGAACTTTTCACAAGCAACTACCTTTGTCAATATATCCCGCAAGGCTATAAGCAGTTTCAATTTTCAATAAACGAATGTCCCCCTTCATTAATAATTATTCGAGTAAAATGAAATCGAACATTAATATGCTTGGTGCGAGCACGATGGACTTAGTTGTTCGACAAAAAAAAAAAAAAAAAATAGCACTCTAGCTATCTCAAGTACCTCTATGTGTTCTTAAGAAATACCAAATCATTAATAAAACCATGCATCCAAATAGCTTCTTGAAAGTTTAAATGACTACCATATACTCTACTTGGGTTGTAAACAATGCAATAGTAATATGCAATATTGAGCACCAAGAAACAGGTCCACCTGCCGTATTGAATGGATAACAAAGAGTGGAATGACATTTATCAGTCTCCACTTTTCTCTTGGAAGCAATCAACATGACATCAACATACTAGACCAAATACATAAATAGACCATCATCAAGGCACCGAAAGTACACACAATGATCAAATTGACTATGAGTATACCTCTGCTTCACCAATAAGTGATCAAACCTCTTATACCATTGACGAGGAGATTGCTTTAGTCCGTACAAATATTTCTTCAACCTGCATACCAAATATTGTTGCCCAACTACTCGAAAGCTAATTGGTTGTCCATATATATTTATTCTTCCAAAATTTTCATGTAAGAAAACAGTTCTTACATCGATTTGTGTTAGCTCAAAATTAAAGTGAACAACTAAAACCAACCAAATATGAAAGGAAGAATGCTTTATCACATATTATAATAAATCTCTTCCTTTTAGCGGCAAGTTAAACATTATATTGAATGACAAAAGAGCCTTTC